TTAATGCTTGTTTATGGATTGTTTTCAACCTGTTGAAATGTCTCTCTTCAAGATCCTGCTCAAATTCTACTTCCTCCATGAAGTATTTCCCCATTCCCCTCAGGCTAAAACTGATTACTCCTTCATAAAATTTGAGTGTTTTTTCTCTCTCATTTTCACTTATCATATCCTATCTTGTATAACACTTGTATAAATCTTAACTATATATAGTCATAGTCCCACAGCTAGCCAAGTTTCTGGGCTAGCATTTGAATCCAAATCTCCTGACTCAAGTCGACTACTTTTTCCCATGATACCAGCCTGCCTCTCATAACAGTAACTCACATTTGTGGAACACACTGAAGTTTAGAGTGATTTCCTCACAACAATCTTACAGGCTAATGCAAATATTAGCATCCCCATTTTATAGCTAAGGAAACTGAGGCATAGAGATGAATAAAGTGATTTGACCAAAGTTACACAGCTGGTATCTGTCTCTGAGTATAGTTATCCCTTCCACATTGCAGGGGTTGGGGCACAATGCCCCCACAATCTGGAAAATCTGCATAAAAGTTTTTGGCCCTCCCTTCACACTAGAGAAGAAGTCTGTATTTTTTTCTTTTTCTCTTACGGGGTGTTTACAGTACCTTATTGCAAAATTTGGGTTAAATATTTGGTCATAGGTTCTATGTCGTCTGCTGGCTTTCACGTGATGCCTGCGGTTTCTGCAAAACTCCTCCCCAAATTCCCATTTAATTTCTTATGCTTACCCAAGATCTATCAAAACCCAAAATGGGGAAAGTCATGACGTGAAAGGATAACTGTATAGCACTCACCCCCATTATACCAAACGGAAAGCTTCAGGGTACAAGGACTGAATGTCATTTTTTCACCTTTGTGTACCTAACAACTAGCAAAGTGACATAGCAGAAGCTTAATAAATTTGTGTGGAATTAACTTTACTAATGTATGATAAGGTAAATAAGTCACAATGGCTGGGCTAATGTGCAGTCTGTTACTCTTTTGTTATAATTCTTTTTCATTGGTATTGGATGAAAAAAATTAGCCAGTAAAAATATTAGCCAGGTTTGGTTTCTTAATATTCTCGAAGTTACCTTTAGGAGCCTAGTTTGAATTCTAGGTGGTCAACAACTGCAGGGGGCAGAGTTCAGCCACTTTAGTTTCCTTTCTCTTCCCTTCTCTAACCAATTTAAATCTCTAGGTTCAATCTCTCTAAATTTCCTCAATTGTTAAATGAGAAGGTTGGACTAGATTAAACAATCAACAAGTATTTATTAAGTGCCTACTCTTTGCCAGTCACGGTGTCAAGTGCTGGGCATACAGTGCTGGGCACACAGTGCCCAACCTTCTGACCCTCAAGGAACTTACAGGATTTTATTAAGTCCATACTAAGTACTTAATCAGGCATGAGGTGGCTTACTGGATAAAGCACTGGGCTTGGTATCAGAAAGACTCCTCTTTCTGAGTTCAAATCTGGCCTCAAACACTTACTAGCTGTGTGACCCTGGGCAAGTCATTTAACCCTGTTTCAGTTTCCTTATCTGTCAAGTGAGGTGTAGAAGAAAATGGCAAACCACTCCAGTATCTTTGCCAAGAAAATCCCAAGATGGGATCATGAAGAGTCAGACATGACTGAAAGTACTTAATAAATGCTCGCTGATTTATTGATTCTAACAAGGGCATCCTAGGAGTGTTTTGGTCTAGGTAGGCCCCAGGATCATGAGGAGAGCTTTCAGACACTAAATTGTCATATCCATTCCAGTAGCAATGATAGTAATGCTTTTATTATCATTCCCAGAGCAATAGGTACAAAGTCAGGTGAGGACTGGGTAGATGAGAGGCCCACCCATGAGGGAAATGCATGCACTGGCAGGGCAGATAGGAAGATGCAGATGCTGAATTCCCTGGTATCCCAGCAGAAGCTGGATGGAATAGGAAACAAGGTCTGTGGCTACCTAGATAGTCAGTTGAGGTAAGGTACATACCAAGGAGGTGAGGTCACTCACCTAACAAGAAGCATAGTTCATGCCCAGGTAGCTTATGACCTCTAAGGTCTTATCTAGTTGTAAATCTATGATCCTATGAAACATGTTCTTCCCATCAAGTCAGCTACAAGCTAGCTACATACTATTTAGTAAGCTAGCATATAGTGAGATCCTTTATCAACTAGGCAGCTTCCCAGATAAGGGAGAATTGACATTTTTGGTCCAGATGCCCAAGTAGTTCAAAATAGGCAGAAAAATAGAGGCAATCTTTACTTCTCAAGGCCCACTTCTCCCGATACTTCTTATTCATCATCTTGACTGAGATGGCAGCCTTGCTAGATATATGTTGCAGGTCTGGAGATAGTAAACTACTAGTCCTGCCAGGGAAGGACAAGGACATTACTTTTGCCATTTGCAATGGGTGTTGCCTTTAGTACTATTTGTAGCTTTCAGTTCCAAGTCTCTAAAATGCTCTGTTCCCTAGTTTCTTTGGATCTTTCACATCTAAATCTATGATCCTAAACCTCCTTGAACCTGACTGAATAAAGTAATACAACCATGGTTCTTTATTCTACTTGAAATAAAATATTATCAATTAGGATGCAAACAAAAAGGAGATTTAGACATATATCACTGTACTTTGCAAAAATAAATTTATTCATGCCTTCTCCCCTACCAAATCTCTCCTCTGAGTGTCAGTACCAAATTACCAACCACCTATCTGAAATTTCAAACTGGATGTTTTATTTATGTCTCAAACACATGTCCAAAACAACTCATTGTCTTCCCTCTCCCCCTAATTCATCCCTCATCCAAATTTCCATATTTCTTTGGAAATTATCACCATTCTTCCAATTTCCCAGAGCTGTAACTCTTTTACAATTGAGAAACTCATGGTTTCAGTTTCAATGGTTCAGTAACTCACCCAAAGTCACACAGCTAATAAGTGTCTGAGGTTGGATTTGAAGTCAGGTCTCCCTGACTGCAGGCCCAGTGCTCCATGAACTGTGCCGCCTAGCTGCCTCTTCTAGCATTTTATGTGATCTAGCTAAACAGGCTTTCTCTTTGCTTCTCATACATGGGATTCTATCTCCTGCTTCATGCCTTTTCACTAGCAGTTCTTTCTGCCTGGAATGCACATGCTCTTCACCTTTACCTTTCAGGATCTTTTCTTCAAGATAGTTTGAGCACCACCTTTTATACCATGTTGCAAAGTACATGGCTTTGCTGTACAAAAAGGGCCTAATAGTATTCAAAGCATTTTCCTGGCAGCCACTCTAATTACCTTTCATAAAACAAGAGAAGTTCAGAATTGGAAGGAACTTTAGAAATCATCTAGCACAATCCCTTTATTGTAGACATATAGAAACGGTTTGGAGAGGCTGATTTGCCCAAGGTCACACACAGCTAGTTAGTAGCATTTATACCATAATACAACATTTATTAAATGTCTACTGGGTGCAGAAAACTATTAGGCACAGGATTGGAGGAGGTAATAAAATGGAAATCAGGTATTTTTGCTGCTTTTAAGGAGCTTACAGTCCGGTAGAGGTAGGACCTCACCACATATAAACCAGATACAAGTTCAAGTTTTCAAGCAGGGAGACATATGGTATGGGCAAAAGAAATATAATTCTGGCAACTTCACAATGCTAGATTGGCAAAGGAAAGGAGGATAACACAAGACTATAAGGTGAGTGTTAAGAAGGACCTTTCCTGGGGATGTACCTGCGTACCTAATTAAATGGAGGCTGATGAGACAAATAGAGGTGTAATCAATAGGACCTAAAAACTGATTTTATATGAAGTTAACAAGAGAGGAAAGCCAAACACCAAGGTTATGCACATGAGAAGCCATGAAGGAAGCACTTGCATAAGGAGAAATACATAGTTTTGTAGCTTACAATGGCATTTAGCAGCTCTGGAGCAGCAATGGACAAACTAAACAGTACAAGCTATTCAGGGGATGAGAATTCACAAGTGTGGTTGGCAAGTTCAGTGGACAAAGGAGTCTAAGGCAGTCCTGAGGCATTTACATGGAAATCCATGGAGTTAAAACTGGAAATGTAGGTATGAAAAGGCAAAATGAAGTTGGTATGCCTGGAGAGTAAGAGATGAATCAAGAGATAAGAAAGGTAAGACTAGAGGTCATGAGTAGAAGGCTGGAATTTCAAAGTTCTGGGCTCAGTGCAATCCTTGGAGACTGTGTGATTGGAAATGCGCAAACGTGATGGTTTGTGGCTGAATTAGAGCGGAGAAGCACGCCCCTACAGTTAAGACAAGATGAACTGTTTTTCAAAAAATTACTTTAGGCTCCTAAAATTACCACCACTAAGTGTTACTCCTGTAACACTGTAATTTGTTTTAATTTTCATCTTCCACAATTTGATGCCGCTTCACATTTCCGGCTTATCTTATTAAGATACCCTCCTCCATACAGCCTAGGTTCATCCTCACTCTCTCACTTTCCGTTTTCTGTCTTTGCTGGGGTCATTGCTTATGCTTACAACGTCACCTCTTCCACCTCTGCCTGCTGAGCTCCTATCCATTCTGTTGCCACTTTATCCAGGAAGCCTCCCTGACGTTTGGAAAAAAAGTGTTTTGAGATGGAAGGAATCCTACTTGGTAACAACCTTTAAGTTGGAGCTTTGTTTTGCACTTCTATTATGCAGTCATCAGATAACATTTCAGGGGTAATGGTGTAAAGACACAGGCTAGTATGTATGTGCTTGTTATAAGTGTATGCACACAGCAGCAGGCGCACAGGAACATTAACAAACGCTATTCGTTAAGTGCTATGGTTCGGGGAGCTCTAATAGCAGGGCAGATTCAAACAGAGATCAGCAGCTGCTGGAGAGGAAGCAACGGCAACAGGAACAGTTAGCCAGCAACGATGCTCCCAGAGGATTTGGTAGAGCGGCGTTCCCAGAGAACTTTGCGTCACGTGTCGACGTTTGCGTCAGGAGGCGGGCCTTCCCGGCCAAGCTCGGCAACTTCCGGCAGCGGGCCGACGACCTAATTGGACACGGCGTCAGAGATGGGCGGCCCTTTGCCCAGGCCCATCTGAGGAGCAGCTTGCGCCGGACTCATGGGTGCCCAAGCAAAGCTAGGAGCCTTCCGCCTCCCTCCTTTGCCCACGATCGGGGAGATCATAAAACTTTTCGGACTCCGAGCCCAGAAACAGCTGTCCCAGAACTTCCTCCTGGACCTGAGGCTGACAGGTGGTTAATGTCATGACGCTCCCAGGGCTTCCTCCTCGTGGTTCAGATTGTACCGGAAGGGGCGGGCGGTGCTGTGAGTCCGGGGCGGCGTGCACGCGCACGTCGGAGGCGTGTACACGCAGTCGCGTGCAGGCGCTCTTCTGCCTGGCGTCTTTTACGTGGGGAGGCGGTGGCTTCTGTCAATCTGGGTTTGTGTATTTCTAGTCCACGTGCAGTGTTGGCATTAAAATATATCTGAACTTAAATATTTTGAGAGCTGCACTTGGTCCAGAAAGAAGTGTTACGGGTTTTTAAAGTATGACTCCCAGAATTATTTTTACAAATGCTTTGGAGTCGGTTTCTGAATTCATTCATTCAATAAACATTGAACGCCTACTCTGTGACTGGCACTGTGCTTAGCTGTGGGGCGGGGATGGAAGTCATAGGGGAAGAAAGTTGTGGTAAGCCTAAGAATTTAGACTTAATGATGACTGCTCTTTTTTGTTAATATTTTTTCCCCCAATTACATCTAAAAAGGAGGACTGCCCCTTTGTGTATTCCCCAGCTCATAGCACAGTGGCTGGCGATAGTAGGTGCTTAATAAATGTTTATGAATTTATACACACACATACATATAATGAATTCATTCTATAAATGAATTGAATATATTTCTTTGCGATGTTCGAAGTTTGTTTCTGTCATGTAATTGAAAGTTTGAACTTGCATCCAAGGCCTTTACTAAATGCAATGTTTTAGAAAACCATCCTTTGGATTAGTTACGTTTCTTTGTTGTTGTTCAGTCTTGTCAGATTTGTCAAAATACTGGAGTGGTTTGCCATTCCTTCTCCAGCTCGTTTTACAGATGAGGAACTAAGGCAAACAGGATTAAATGACTTGCCCTGTCACACATCTAGTAGTTCTGGAGCTACCCTGAACTCAAGAAGAGTCTCCCTGATTCCAGGTCTGGCACTCTTATCCATTTAGCCACCCAACTGTCCTGCATAAGAGTCAAAGCCATATCTATGTTTTGACCACTGATGGTGTTCTGTTCCATTCCATTCAGTTTAGTTCAGTTCAGGGTGTAGATGGAGCATTGGACAGGGAGTAAGAACATCTGAGTTCAAATCCAACTTCAGCTGTATGAGTCTGGGCTATCTTTCCACTGTCCTCTAGCTGAATCTTGAACATTTTTGGTGTATTATCTCATTAGCATTATTCTCTTTCATATAATTGTTGTTTCTGTGATTTGGTCTTTGATCACTCATTCAGGATATGATTATGTCTCCTTTTAGTTAGTTGTCTTCTGCTTCTTTTCCGTATATAAATTGCAGTTTTTATTGTTATTGTCTGTAAAGGAAATGTTTAGGTTTTTTTTTTTAAAATGTGTTTAATATGTTTTACATTTATAGAGTCCTAACATGTGAAAGTCAAGGAAGATTTTTTTCCTTGGAAAAGGCCCCTGGAGTTGATGACTTGGTCATTAGTGACTTGAGAGCAGTTTAAATTTATTGGTGAAGATAGAAACTGAGTTGTTCAAGTATTTGAAAAGCGAAAGAACTAGAAGTAGGGAGCATAGACTACTTTTAAAAATTTGGCAAGGAAAGAGGACACAGTGGCTTGAGGGCTAAGGACAAGGAAATCCCTCCCACCCCCCATGTAGTGCAAAAGAAAACCTGGTCATGTTTATAGTTGGAGGGGAAGGAGATAAAGAAATGGTAGACACCTGAGAAAGGGCAGGTGATTGATAGTGCTTCCTAGAGGAAGTAAAAAGGACAAGGAGGGGATTAGTCTTGGTAAGGAAGACCATTTCTTGATGCATGAGAGAACAAGGAATGAAAAGACAGAGATGCAGAGGTTTTGAAGCATGGAGGGACTTTGGTCTAAATTGTCTAGATCTTAGTGTGATTGAAAGTTGAGGTTACCTCCTGAGAATGAAGAAGGTTAAGGAATGCGGGGTAAGGGAATAAGCATTTATTAAGCTCCGATGATGTGCCAGGCAACATGTTAAATGCTTTACAAATATGATTTTATTTGATCCTCACAACAACCCTGGGAGGTAGGTGTTATTGTTATAATCTTTTTTTTTTTTTTTTTAGCAGTTGAGGAAACTGAGGCAAAAAGAAGTTCAATGACTTGCCCAAATTCACATAGTAAGATCAAGAAGCCCCATTTGAACTCAGATCTTCCTGACTAAAGGCACAGAGGCAAAGTTAGGCTTTATGTCAGGAAAAAACTTCCCAATGGCCCTATCCAAAATAAAATAGACTGCCTTGAGAGGTACTGAGTTCCCCCTCCTTGGCATGAGGTTGGATGACCAGTTAGATATTTTATAGTTGAGATTCCTTTTAGATCTAGCTTCCTAGATTGCTGCAGAGGCCCCTGCCAATTCTTCAATTCTGTTATTCATACATCTTACAGTGAAATGGTGTGTTTATTAATATAAATTGCTGTCCTAGTCAGGCCTTTGGAGTCCTTTGGGCTTATGGGAGGTTTCATAAAGAATCACACTTGTCAGTAATTGCTTAAAACAGTAGGCTTTTATTTTTAACACATTTTAACTTAAACAAGAGATAGCTTAAGACAGAGGTGTCAGACTCATTGAAAAAGGGAAAAAACTCCCAAGCATGGCTTAAACCAAATTAAAATGTAATTGGGAAATATTTTAGAAAATAAGTGAAAAATACAATATAACATAATGTTAATTTGGTTTTTCTTAGTATGCATCCTGCAGTTATCCATTTCTATTTGAGTTTAACACTGGCTTAAGAGACACCCTAGGATGGGAGGGGGCAGTTTGCAATCACTCCTCCCCCCACTCCCACCCCCTGCCATCCACCCCACTGGCTGTAGGGATACTGTTTGAGTTTGATACCTGACCTTTAGGGTAGAAGGAAACAAGAGAAGGATGCAGCGAGGGCAGTTTGCAGTCACTCTTCCCGTCCCATTCATACACAGGCAAAAAGTACTGCCAAACTCTTGTCATCTCACCTCCAAAACAGAGAAGGAAAGGAATATAACTATGGTGTTCACTCAACCTCTGGTGCATTTGTTTTCAGGCTGCTGCTGGTTGTATTAGTGAGGTAGAGGAGACATATCAGCAATGGTCCTGTGCAGAAGCTGCTCCTCAATGTAGCATCACCAGCTGTCTCTCTTTTCCAGGGTCCTTTGTTACCTTCACACCATGACAGCTCAGTGACATAAGATATAGTTAAGGGTTTTTAGGGAGGAGTGTGTGCTTAGTTAGGCACTTCAGATTCTCCATCTCTATAAAGAGATATTCAGGGTTAGCTAGTGCAAATGATTGTTGACCATTGAGAGAGAGAGAGAGAGAGAGAGAGATTTTGTGAGTGTGTGTGTGTGGGTGTGGATGTGAGACGTGGAGGTTTCTAAGAGTTTTTAGAAAGGAAGCATTTCTGGAGCCTGCTGCCTTTTTTTTTTTTAAATTAATGAACAAAGGAAGAAACAGCCCCCAAATCCAAAACTTTTTTGAACTACTATAGTTATATTATTACTGATTTTTAAAAGGATTGTTATAGCTGAACAGCAAATAAAGATAAATACTATGTGCTCATTATATGTTGTTTACTTAGAGGTATTTTTTGAAAAACTATTGAATAGGTAGAATGGTGGATATAGTGCTAGAACTGAAGTCAAAAAGAACTGAGTTTGAATATTGCCTCAGACACTTATTAACTGTATGACCGTGGGCATATCATTTAACCTTTCTTAGCCTCAGTTTACTCATCTGTAAAATGGGGATGATTATAATAGTACCTACTTAACATGGTTCTGAGGCTCAAATGAGTTAACGTGTAAAATTCTTCATAAACCTTAAAATGTATATACATGTTAGCCATTATTATTGATGTGAAAATGATTGATGGACTTTGCATACTCATTTTCACTTCTAAATTCACCTCCAGGATTAGCATTTTACAAGAGATGTATATGTTGAATTTTTTTTTCTAGATAAGATTGTACGAAAGACTGGCAATCTGAAAAATGCTCATGTTTATGAAGTAGGCCCTGGGCCAGGTGGCATCACGAGATCCATTCTTAATGCTGAAGTAGCTAATCTTCTTGTGGTTGAAAAGGACACTCGATTTATTCCTGGGTTACAGGTGAGAAATTTAAGCTGTTTATTTTGATGAACATTTAATTTTAAGCCTTAGGCATAGAAGCTGAACAAGCAGATTATTCTATGTGAACTCGATTTCTCCAGAAATAGCCACTCTTTATATGATTGTTTTCTTTTCGTAAAAGAAAGAAGTAGTTTTAGGGAGTTGTATGTGATTTCCTATCAATTTGTACACAGCTTAGAAATAGTATCCTTAATTAATGGTCAGGCTTTTTTCAATTACATTTTAGTTTTGTACATTTATAAAATTAGGGTATACATGACTTTTTTTTTTGTGGGGCCGATTTTAAATATATTTTACTTTCCAGGACAAGATTCACATTTCCATTTGTTTACAGTAGTGATAAAGTACAATGTTGTTCACTTCTCTCCTTCTGTACATGTTCAAGTATTCAGAATGCCCAGATTTACACAGCAGCTTAAATCTTACTTTTAAACTGCTATTGCCTTGGTGACAAATTTAGGTCCTTCATTATCTGGAAAGCTGTGTGGAATGGTCTTTCTTCTGCTGTGTTTAGTCAACCTCTTCAGTGGTGAGTCTGGAAGAAGCACCTCCAGATGGGGATGCTCTACTCCCTGGGAACTCCCCAGGCATGTGTCCTGGCATGCCCCCTGCACTCTGGTGTAGCTTAGCAGTGATGGGGTTGCTTACCTTCTGTGATTCTTTCTGCTGATGCTCAGATTCCTCCTTCTCAGCAGTCTGGTTTTTATCTAGCAGGTTGATTATTTCATTACATTTGTCAAAGATCTATCTTCTGTTTGTGTTCATCACCAATTTTGCCTTGAAGTTTCTTATCCTCTACAGTAGCCTTCATGTTGAAAGCATAAGATTCAGGAGAATTCTTAGAAGACATCTTGTCTCTCTGCTTCTCATTTTCTGCCTTGTATTTCTCAGCTTCAGTGTGCTGAATCATAAGCTCAATGTCTCCTTTGCTCAGACAACCTTTGTCATTAGTGATGGTGATTTTATTCTTCTTGCCTTTGCTCTTAACCACAACAGAAACATTGAGGATGCCATTTGCATTGATGTCAAATGTAACTTCATTCTGAGGAACACCGCTGGGATTAGGGGGAGATTCCTGTGAGCTCAAACTTGCCAAGCAGGTTGTTATCCTTTGTCACTGATCTCTCACCTTCATCAATCTGAATAAGCATACCAGGTTGGTTGTCTGCTTGGTGGGGATGGTTTGATTAGAACTGTTCCAACGGAAAGAAGAGTAATGTCCACCAGCAGCAAGTCCTGCATATTCTCAGATTTATCTCCAGACAAGATGGTGACCTGAACAGATGAACCATAGTCAATAGCCTCAACAGAATTGATGCTGTTGTGGAACTCCTTGCCGCAGAAGTCCTGCAGAAGCTTCAGGATTTTGGAGATCTGAGTGGGACCACCCTCAAAGAGGATGTCATGAATCTATGATTTGTTTAGTTTGGCATCTCTTAGGGATTTTTCACAGCATCAATGTGCCACAGAAGAAGCATTCAGTTCTTCAAATCAGACTTGGGTGAGTGACGCGGCCGCTGCAGTGATGAGCATGAGACCAGCTCAATGCTCTGTAACCCCGAGACACATGGATGAGGCGGGAGACAGCAAGGTGGCAGAAGCTCTGTTTATTGAGTGCAATTAGCTGTCTTTTATGGCCCTAGTGATGCATGTTCAAAGCATGATCCCCCTGTGATAGCCAATCATCAGGTCTGCTGGAGCTCGTGTCAGGACTCATCTCCCAGTGAGAGGAGAGCCAAACCAACCATGGGAGCTGCAGGTCAGCAAAGGAGAGGTCCTGGGAGACTTCCTTATTTTTGCCACGCAACTATCTTGTGACCCTCAGCTTCTACTGATAGAAGCTAGAACTCCCATGGGAAAGTTCCCCCAACAGAGCTCTCATGAGACTGTGAGACATTCACCCTAACAGGTGAGAGGGGTTTAGAAATCAATACCCTCATAGAGTGAGACAATTTCAGTACTGATCTGAGTACCAGAAGAGAAGATGTGCTTTGCACATTCGCAAGTGGTGCACAAATAGTGGACAGCCTTCTTGTTTTCATTGATGTCCTTGTACTTTTGCTTGAACTCAGAAATAAAGACCATGTAGTTGTCAAAGTCCTCCCCTCTCAATTGAGTGTCCCCAGCTGCGGACTTGACATTAGAGATACTGTCTTCAGTGGTAAGAATGAAGACATTAAAAGTACCACCTCCAGGGTCACAGTTCAGCACGTTTCTCTTAGCACCAACCTTTTTGTCTAAGCCATAAGCACTTGGTTCATTGATGATTCAGAACACATTGAGAAAAGCAATGGTTCCAGCATATTTGGTGGCCTGACATTGGGAATCATTGAAGTAGGCTGGTACTGTAACAACAGCATTTGTGACAGCCTTCCCAAGGTCAGCTTCAGCAATTTCTTCCATCTTGGTCAAGACCATAAAAGGTCTTCTTTTGGATAGAAACTTTTGGTCTCCCCTTTGTCCCTCACTTGGATCTTAGGCCTGCCTGCATCATTTACCACCATGAAAGGCAGATACTTTCATGTCTGAGTGTACAGCTGCGTCATCAAATCTGTGACCAATCAGACGTTGGCATCAAAGACTGTGTTGGTGGGGTTTATCGCAACTTGATTCTTTGTAGGATCACCAGTTAAACATTCTGTGTTGGTGAAGGCAGTGTAGCTTGGGGTAGTTCTGTTTCCTTAGTCATTAGCCATGCTTTTCACTTTCCCATGTTGGAAGATCCCCGCCCAGGAATAAGTGCTGCCAGGATCAGTACCAACTGTAGGTCCTTTTGACATGGTTGCTGGGATGGTGGAGGTCATGGCTAACCGCTGTGGAGCAAGAACGGTTGCTGCTGTGCTGAATAGCAAGACGTGACTTCTATGAAAAAGACTTGAGGGTTTTAGTTTACCACAAGCTCTGCAGTGTCATGTGGCTTGTTAAGAAGATTACGTAATAACTAAAGTCTTCATTAATAGATGTACAAGAAGGGCAGCTAGGTGGCGCAGTGGTGGGAGCACTAGCCTTGGAGTCAGGAGGATCTGAGTTCAAATCCAGCCACAGACACTTGACACTTACTAGCTGTGTGACCCTGGTCAAATCACTCAACCCCCATTGCCTAGCAAAAAAAAAAACAAAACAAAAATAGTAGATATACAAGTCCAGGATCAAGGAAGATGGTAGACCCAATGTATCCAGTACTTATTTTGCTACATATGGAGTTCCACATTCAGTTCTGTTTGCCACATTTTAAGAGATATAAGTCCAGATTTCTTAAATCCAAGTCCATTGTTCTTTCTCTTTTGCTCTGCCAGCTTCCTAAACATGTATATAATGTCCCAAATGGTGAAATAAGTTGGCTTTTAAAAAAAAAAAAGGTAATGCCTTTTAAATACATTAAGCTTCCTCCTCCCTGTGTGATACCTTTCCTTATTAGGCAGGAAGGGTATCACCTTCAAATTTTTTCCCAAATTAATCTCTCTTTCCCCAAAGATGGTGTACAAATATACACATCAGTTTTCCTAGCTTACTTGAGCTAAGTCATATGCTCTTCAAACATAGGAACCAAGTTTTCTCTACTTTTTCCATCCTTAGGCTCTTAGCATCTAATTATAATGTCGTGTACCCTGTGAATGCTTAATAAATATTAATAAAATTTAATTAAATAAAAAAGTCTATAGCACTAAGAGAAATTAAAACTATAAATACCAGTAAAGATGATATACAATTATCCCTGTTTGCATTTGTCATTATGGTTTACTTAGAAAACTCCAGAGAACCCAGGAGGAAACTAATCAGGGCAAGTAATAGCTCCAGTAAAGTAGTAGTCCATCTTTTCCTTCCCTTCTTTCCCTCCTCCATCCCCTCTCTACCATGTCTCTCCTTTTCCCTTCCCTCTTTCTCTTCTTCCTTTTTTTCATTCCCTCCCTGTAATTTCATCTGTGTAGAGAACTCCTGGTGATGAACTTTTTCTGTCAGTGCATAGCTTTACCTTCCCTGCAAATTATAGTTTTAGTGTTGCGTATGCAGAAGTGCAGTACTTAAAATAAATTGAGAAAAATCATTAGCATTTTTATTCAGTACTAAAAAAAAATGAGGAAGTGATAGAAAAATCACATTCAAAATAACTATAAAATACATATAATAATTGGGAATTCATCTAAAAAAGATTTTATTATAGAAATCAAAGAAATAAAGAATATTTATTAAAGGAATAGAGATATTTATTATCATAGTTGGACCACACATATACAATTAAAGTAATTATACCTAAATTAATGTATAGATTTTGTACTACAACAAGCAAGCTACTAAGGGATGATTTTATACAACTAAGCAAAATAATTTTTAAAAATTCATTTAGAGAAACAAAGTATCTAATATCTCAAGAGAAATAATAAAAAAGTTGGAATGAAGGGGACCTTGTAGCACCACACTATATAATGAAGCAGCAGTCATCAAAACTATTTAGATTTGATGGTTAAAATAGAAAAGTAGGTCAGTAGAATATGTTAGGTGGGACTGAAAAGCAAATGAGCTCAGTAGCTCATTTTTCAAAAAATCCATGAATACAATTTACTTTCTATATGGCAAAAACTCGTGGGGGTGCAGGGGGGAGTGGCAGGGATAGGAAAGCAGTTTGGCCAGAAAAATAGGGTTAGACCAGCAACTACACCATATACCACAATAAGCTTATGTGGACAAGTAGCCTCAATTAGGAAGTCACGGCATTAAATAATTTAGAGTAGAATGGAAGTGGGTAAGTTTCTCCCACTCATTAGGAAAAGAATTCATAAATAAAGGAGGAAGATCCCAAAAGACAAAATAAACAATTTTGATTATATTCATTAAAAAGCTTTTATACAAACAAAATCAATGCAACTAGAACAAGAAGAAATTGTCGAGTAGGGGGAAATCTTTTCACAAGTATCTATGATAAAAATCAGATATGCAAAATATGTGGGAAATTGACATAAATACATTAGATTAGGAACTAT